TCTCTCTCTCTCTCTCTCTCTCTCTCTCTCTCTCTCTCTCTCTCTCTCTCTCTGTGTGTGTGTCCCCTTCCCTCCCTCCTGCCCGCCCGTGCGTCTTTTTCTTTTTGCCTGTTCCTTTTCTGTGTTTTCGGTTTTTTTTTTTTTTTTTTTTTTTTTTCATTTTTCGTTCTAAATACTATGTGTGTCATGCTGACAGTAGCGGGGCCCGGCCTTCAAGCAGCGACTGGGCCTTCCCTTGGCCGACCCCCGAAGGTGTCGGGCGTTAACGGGAAAGGCCCGTGGCCGATAGCTAGGCCAAGTACTGGAGGTTTAAACATAAATAAAAAATGCGACGGGATCACCTTCTCTTCTGTTTTCTTTTTTTCCATTCCTCTTCTGATATATCAATATATTCTATTTGACGATATATATATATATATATATATATTACAAGAAAACTCAGGGCATACTCAAGTTGACCAAAAGTCTCAAAAAATTGAGGCATTTGGTTGGGTTTTTTGAGGCATTTGGTCCCGGTGTGGTCACACAGTTGGACCTCGTCCAGAAAGGACGAAGTCGCAACCCTGACACATCACACTCAGGCCAAGTGCACCCGGGGGGAGGACCAAACAACAAGATGAATTTTTTTTTAGTTTTTTTCTCACTCCGGTATAAAGCCTGGGCCTTCGCTACAACGGAAATGTTCCTGGTCGCACTTTCAGTTGTTTGGCGGGCTCTCTTCTTGGTCTACTATTCTCTTCAATTGGAGAACATAGAAAACAAAAAACGAAAGGTCATTTGAGACCACCTCCAGAGGTGGTCTCAAAAAGGGTCCGACAGCCCCGCAGGCCGCTGGCAGAAGGGTCACCGTTTGAGGCATTTGGGTAGCACGCCTCTGCAGTGTGACCCAAAAAATGACTCAAGTTTTGGGATTTTGGGTCTTTTGGTCCTCGTGTGAGTATGCCCTCAGCTCATTTGATTACACACACCAAAGGAGAGGCCGGGAATACCTCAACAAACAACCCGGAAGGAAAGAACAAAGTTTTTCCGGGACCTTTACCCAGCATAGGGAATCGGTGTCCGGGGGCTCTGTCCCACTTACACGAATTACGAGATACTGACCGTAGATAGCACAGATCAACAGTCAGAATCTCGTACTCCGTGCAAGTGGGACCTTGCCCCGGGTGGATTACGAGATACTGACCATAGATAGCACAGATCAACGGTCAGAATCTCGTACTCCGTGCAAGTGGGACCTTGCCCCGGGTGAGAAATCCAGAGACAGAAATGGCCAAATCCAGACCGCTGTCCTGATACCCTCCCACCCTGAAACAAAAGAAAAAGCGCCTCAGCGCCTGAAGAAACCTCACAAATCAACAAAACCACCTAAAATAACCTTACCACACGGCCTGAAACCCGGAACCTGCAACAAGCGGGAAGAAAGAAAGAAAAGCTAAACAAACAACTCCTCACGGCCTGAAAAGCCACACAAACCTCAGGGAAAACTCCAACACACCCTTCACAAAACGAGAGTCTAGCATACCTTGACAAAAGCCATCCCTTCTTCTACAGAATGGGTACAATACTGGATGGAATATGGAAGTAGCATACCTTGACAAAAGCACCCTGACTTTGTCCCGAAGCCGGCCGGTCGTCGTACCTGGTGGATCTAATCCTTCAACTCCCGTTTGGGATTCTCTTAGGGCATATTCACACTAGGCCCTCAAAATCGCAAAAAAATCACAAATTGAGTAGCCAGATTGAGTTCCTGCAAAGGACGGACTCGATCTGGCCCCGCTCATTTTGCGATTTTGTGATTTCGAGGGCCTAGTGTGAGTTCTCTCTCTCTCTCTCTCTCTCTCTCACACACACACACATACACACACACACAACGAAATCGCATTCGGAATCCTTTTGTCCCTCCCTCCCACCCTTCTCTCTCTCTCTCTCTCTCTCTCTCTCTCTCTCTCTCTCTCTCTCTCTCTCTCTTACTCTCCTTTCTGTTTCCTACTGGATGATTGGACGGCTCATCTTGCCTTTTGCTCAGCGTGATGACAGTTTGTTGTTTGGCTTTCGTTTCGTTGGCAACAATGTAGATCTAATTCGGATGGTTTTCACATCCACCCATCAAGGGCTATTTGTGGTTTTCACATCACAGTGGGTGGATGTGAAAAGTTTGAAAACCCATAATGCGCATTAGATGAGTAATAATAGCATGTGATGGCTGCGATACTCATACAGTATTAATCCTTGGTGTCAATTGAATTGAATTTTCTTTTTTTTTTTCCCTTTCTTTAACCTAAAATTTCACGATTGATGATTATTCATTCACGACGACGTCAGTAGTAGAGAAGCAGGATGGAAGAGGAAGAGGAGATAAAGTCAACGATGGATCCAGTAATTGATGTAGTTGAGGGATTGGATGATTGATATATTGGATGGCTTTTTGATAGACTGATTGATTGACTTCGTGATCCATTTTTTGACTGCTTGCTCACGTGTTTGATTGATTGAGTGATTGGTTGATTGATTGGTTGATTGATTGGTTGATTGATTGGTTGATTGATTGTCTGCTTGCTTGATTGATTGATTGACTGCTGGATTGATTGATTCACTGACTGCTTGATTTATTGACTGTTTGTTTGATTGATTGATTCATCAATTGATTGATTGATTGATTGATTGATTGATTTTCTGCTTGATTGATTGATTCATCGATTGATTGATTGTCTGTTTGATTGATTAATTGATTGATTGATTGATTGGTTGATTGATTGTTTGATTGACTGATTTATGGATGGATGTATGGATGGATGGACGGATGGATGAATGGATGGATGGATCGCCCGAGTAAATGCTTCCTTCTCTGCCTCTGCATAGTCTGCCATCGCTGGGCTGGTGGTTGCCCTACCTACCGACAGACAATACTGTGCGCCCGCCAGGCCAAACATTGGGGGCTCTAGCTCATGTCTCGGTTTATGGTTCTATTTACGGAATGTATCTTTGTATGTATCATATGCATACATGATAATCTATGATCGATTATTACTATGTATGAATGTAATCAAACTGTGTGTCCACATTCCAGCGGTCACGCTACACAGAGAGAAACACAAACACTCCAGGCGTCGAGTCCTTGTATCTTCAGTTGTCTCTCTCCTTCGATTTTGCAAAATTCGGTTTTTTTTTTCTTGCATATTTTTTGTCCTTGTTTTATTCTTTAATTGTTTCTTGTTTATTCTTTGTCCTCTTTTCATTCTTTTTATTCTCTTTATTCTTTTCATTCTTCTAATTCTTTGATTGTGGACCGATTTACTTGTGACTGCCAGGTGTGAAGGCGGTCGAGGATCATGGGCCCTAATGTCTATCTGTTAAATCGGTGTCATATTTCGCCATCGCCGTCGACAGCCGCCAATTTGCTGACGTGTCCTTATCCGTCGTCGTCGTCCTGTTCAAAGCAAGATCTTCTTCCTCCTCTCAAATTCATCAGCGGCAGCCATAGCCAGAGCTCTGGCAACGCCGCTCGATCTTATTGTCGATTAACAGCCGCCGTTAGATCGAAAGCGAAGAAGGGGAGGAGGAGTGCAACAAATCTAGACGTATTTCCGACCTTTCTCTCGGTCTTTCTCTCGGCCGAAGAAAGCGAGAGGAGGAGGCGCAGGATAACGAAGGTCATGGCTATGGCGGACGAGCAGGGTGGGGGTGCTGCTGCTGGGGGAGGGGGGACGAACCTGGACGTCTTTCCGACCGTCTCCGTCGAGTGGTTGAAAGATCATCTTGGCGATCCCGACGTCAAGGTGGTCGACGCTTCGTGGTACTTGCCCGTGGAGAAACGGGATCCCTTTGCGGAATTCAAGTCCCGACGGATCCCAGGGTCGGTATTCTTCGATCTGGATGTGGTTTGCGACACCTCGACCGACCTGCCACACATGCTCCCGTCGCAGAAAGTCTTTTCCCGCGCAATGGACTTGCTCGGCATAAACAACGGCCACGTGGTCGTCGTGTACGACGGCAGGGGCATCTTCAGCGCACCGCGGCTATGGTGGATGCTTCGAGTCTTTGGCCATGAACGTGTGGCGGTCCTGGAAGGAGGTCTGCCTATGTGGACGGAGAAAGGTGGAGACGTAGAGGGGGGGGGAGATGAGATGATTAGTTCCATTGGCGTCGCCATATCCGAGGGGGCAATCAAGGATCTCAAGGCTGGCGCTGATGACCTGCTTGCAAGAGCAGCAGCAGCAGCAGGAGGAGGAGGAGGAGGAGGAGGAGGAGAAGGAGGAGAAGGAGGTACTTTAGGATGTAGTAAAACGACGATTGAAGGAGGGGTGGATAGCAGCGACCGCGATCCCGATCGTGTGAGTGGATTTAACGCTACGTTGCGCCCTGATCTTGTGCGGTTATGGCAGGATGTGAAGGCGAATGTGGAGAAGGGCAAAGATGGGAGAAAGGAGGAGGAGGAGGAGGATTTTCAGGTCGTTGATGCGCGGCCAAAGGGACGGTTTGATGGGACTGCACCAGAACCACGACCCGATGTCCCGAGTGGGCATATCCCACGCAGCAAGAATGTGCCGTTTGTGAACGTTTTGACGAAGTTCGAGGGGGGCTGTTTTAAGGATGAAGGGGGTCTTAAGCAATCATTTGTCGAAGCCGGGGTCGCGATTGATGAGCCGATTGTCGCGATGTGCGGCACCGGTGTGACCGGATGTATCTTGGCGCTGGCGCTGCACAAGCTTGGGCGGACTGATGTGGCCGTGTACGACGGGTCATGGACCGAATGGGCTACCTTGTCCAAGGAGCTGGGGTTGCCTATAGAGACGAGCGTTGTGGCGTAGAAGAGAACAGGAACACGGGACGCCAATAGGATAACCAAAAAGAAAGAAAGAAAGAAAGAAAGAAAGAAAGAGAGAGAGAGAGAGAGAGAGAGAGAGAGAGAGAGAGAGAGAGAGAGAGAGAGAGAGAGAGAAGAAAAAGAAAAAAAAGAATTTTGCGCAGGTGGAATGGGGTGTTGGTTGTCGGGCTGACGCAGCTGTGTTTATGATGATGATGATGATAAGCTGGAAGATCGAATGGGTTGACGTTTCCGGACGGAGGGTTTGCTTGCCAATCCGGAAGGAAGAGGGGGGAAGAGGGGGCGGGAGAGGGAGGAAAAGAGGGGGGGGAGGGAGGGGGGAAGAGGGGGGGAAAGAGGCGGGGCAGGGGTGTTGTGGGTTAAAAAAGTATAGAACAATAGAATTGCCCAGGTGGGGCATGCCACAAGGCATCGCGCTGGCTGTTGATGATTGATGGATGGATGCTTGAGAGAGTGGACGACGTCGCGTGGGAAACAGTCCAGGTGCATGCCGCGTGGCTGTATGGTTTTCTCCGAGAGAGACGGGGGAAGGGGTAGAATAGACGAGTAGAAATGTCCAGATGTCAATACCGGGGGATTGTTTGGGGGGGTGCGAGGAAGCTCTGTCCAGATGTGGTATAGACACACGGAGGGAACCTCAAAAAAAGACGAGAGAATAGGAGAGAGAGGAGAGAAAAGAGGAGAGAGAAGAGGAGAGAGAAGAGGACAGAGAGGCGAGGGGAAGAAAGGAACAAAGGGAAAGGAGAGGGGGGGGGGAGGAGCGGGGAGGAGACAAACTGGAGAGGGTGAAAGGGGTGTCGGAATTGGGTTTAAGGGGGGCATGTTTTAAGGTATGAGGAGCTTGAAGCAGGGGGCATGTCCTGCTGTTACAGGCTATTGCCAAGGACCTGGGTGCTACAATTGCAGGAAAAAAAAAAGAAAGAAAGAAAGAAAGAATTTTGGGAAAAAAAAGAAGGAAAAAAAAATTCAGTTTTTGAGGCAGGGAATGAAATCTATCGCGTGAGAAGAGCACAAGAACACCTCCTTTTTTCTTTTATTTATTTTTCCTAATTTTTACTTATTTTATTCATCATCTGATTCCCCCAGATGCATGCGAACTTGGTCGGTTTATCAACAGTCACATGGGTGTACCCTTTTATTCAGCCACATGGGCTGGGTGGTAATTTGGTGACACCCTTTTATTTCTTTTTAATTTTTTTATTTCGACCATTTCTCCATTTATGCGTGTCATCCTTGTGCAGGGGCCATGCTAAATGAGTGCCTTTTATTAAAAAAAAAACACTCTGTTGATCAAAATACATAAAATAGATAAAATAGATGACTGTACTTGTACAGAGCGGCCACAACCCACTAGCGTCTTCCCCCGAACATAACGCACCCTGATAATGAATGTATAGAAGCCATCTTTCCGTCCGGTACAGGCAAAAATGAGGGTGCGTTATGTTCGGGGGAAGACGGCAGCATTGTATTATACGCCGGAACAGTGGTGTGTGACGCGTTTTTGCCATTTAAAAAATGGTTTCCACAATTCTTCAGATTTAAAAAAAGTTAAAAACTAATTTCAACGATTTAAAAGAAAGCCAAATTGTGCTCTGGGTGCTCCCGTCAGCCAATGGGCTGGGAGCCATCGAATGGGTTGCCTTTTTTTTTTTTTTTTTTTTTTTTTTTTTCTGGATGAGTGATCAATTCACCCAATGGGCTGAGTCCTCTGTAGGTCGTCACTGTCAGACCGTTACGGCGTTTTTTTTTCATTTTCTTTTTTTTTCAAAACCTATTTTTTTCTCTCCAAATCACCTCACACTGCCTATCTACCTACCTACCTACCTACCACTACTCCCAATTGTAGGCATACGGGGAACCCCATAGCAGCCACCCAGAACCGTGTTCACTAGAGAACATGCGGGGTCCCACAGTGCAACAAAAAAATTACTTTGTTTTTTTTTGACTGCGAGTCCTTTTGCAGTGCACACAAAAATTACTTTGTTTTTTTTTTGACTGCGAGTCCTTTTGCAGTGCACACAAAAGTTACTTCGTTTTTTTTTTGACTGCGAGTCCTTTTGCAGTGCACACAAAAGTTACTTTGTTTTTTTTGACTGCGAGTTCTTTTGCAGTGCACACAACAGTTACTTTGTGTTTTTTTTTGACTGCGAGTCCTTTTTGTGCACACGATTCACTGTAGGAGAGTCTGGAAAACACCCCCCCTACCCGACGTAACACCCCCTGCCTCAGACCTCGGGTAGGGGGGGGGTGTTTTCCAGACGCTCGCTCCTACAGTGTTTCGAAGTAATAGAAAAAAGGGGGAAAAATGACAAAAGCCCGATGGGTACACACTACTACACAGCCAAAACTTTTTCCTTTTTTTTTTTTTTTTTTTTTTTTGTGAATCTCTTCAAAAATCGGAAACCCACACGATCATACGATTCCCCCCTCCATGGATGGCTTGTGGCGGTCACCCAGTGCCACATGACGATTTGTTTATATATACTTCAAGTCACACACCCATATTACGAATCCTTTCTAAATTGTAATTTTATTTATTCACAACTAACCTTCCATTAAAGCTAAAAAGAAGAAATAACTCAAAACTCAAATTAATAATAGTTAAACCTTGGCACGGCTTGGCACGGCGGTATATATAATACTATGCTAGTGGGTCCTGGCCCAAGGATCTGTTCTGTAGGTCGTGAACTTTCATGTCTTACTGACTTTTAATGTATTAGGGAACTCTTCTCTTTCTCCTCCCTGTCTATTCTATCCGCTTATCTTTTTCTTGCGTGTTCGTCTATGATGGTTGGTTTTCTACTTCTGAAACAAGGGGATTCAATCCACAGACGGACTCACAATCATCTTTGCAGGCTACCTATTGAGCACTGCGTTCACATTTGTATGACATGCCTTTTTGGCTTATAGTCGGGAACCGGTTTCCTTGCACACTTGTCAGGCCCTGTTATTATTATACCAGGGGCGTGTTTGTTGAAAAAATTCTATATATATATATATATCTGTTTGTGACGATATCTATTTGACGATATATATATATATATATATTCAGCCTCCTGATGAGTCGGTGAAACTCCGATGAAACAGTTTGTCACAGCCCCTCGTTTGTTGTCCTCTTCTCCTTCTCCCTCTCTGCCTACGGTTTACCGGGCAGTTCTATTTGACGATATATGGAACCCAGATACTTTGCTCCCCTTCATTGTGGTTGACCGAGGGTCCACAGGAGACTACTATGGGAGCTCCGAAACCAATCCCGAAGCGAAGATTGATTTTCCCGCAGTTCTTTTCATGTTTGCCTTTGGGTTCTCTTTAGGCACGAAGTGCAACCATCTAAACTCTATAAGCAACTTGTCAGAAATTGATCTTAGATTTCTGATATATATATATATATATATCGTCAAATATATATATATATATATATATATATATATATATATATATATATCGTCATATTGTGATGCGGTGTGAACCGACAGTCTGTAGAGTTTTCCATCTGGTGTGGGTGAGTGATAGTCTACTTTGATTTTTGTTAAGGTGGATTATCACTTACAGTGTAATCAGTGAGGGGATTCTACAGACTGTTGAGGGTTCAGCCTCCTGATGAGTCG